AAGTGACTTTGTTGTCATTTAATTCTCGAACTGCGCATGCTCATTCAGTGCTTAAAGCACCGCCTCTGGCGGTCATCCAGGATTCATAGAACCGTAGTTATAGTCGTAACTTTCGTTTTACACTGGTCTAGACCAGAGCAGAGAGGATTCATGGTTTTACACTGGTCCAGACCAGAACAGAGAGGATTCATGGTTTTACACTGGTCTAGACCAGAGCAGAGAGGATTCATGGTTTTACACTGGTCTAGACCAGAGCAGAGAGGATTCATGGTTTTACACTGGTCCAGACCAGAGCAGAGAGGATTCATGGTTTTACACTCGTCCAGACCAGAGCAGAGAGGTTTCATGGTTTTACACTGGTCCAGACCAGAGCAGAGAGGTTTCATGGTTTTACACTGGTCCAGAGCAGAGCAGAGAGGTTTCATGGTTTTACACTGGTCCAGAGCAGAGCAGAGAGGATTCATGGTTTTACACTGGTCTAGACCAGAGCAGAGATGATTCATGGTTTTACACTGGTCCAGACCAGAGCAGAGAGGATTCATGGTTTTACACTGGTCCAGACCAGAGCAGAGAGGATTCATGGTTTTACACTGGTCCAGACCAGAGCAGAGAGGATTCATGGTTTTACACTGGTCCAGACCAGAGCAGAGAGGATTCATGGTTTTACACTGGTCCAGACCAGAGCAGAGCTGTATTTTAATATTATTATTGTGTTTCTGCTGCTGGATCAATAGAGTATCTCTCTCTAAAAAGTAATATTTATATTTCAGAGCGTCGTCCAGGACCTGATGGACCGGAGCCAAGCAGCACAGAATGTTCCTCACAAGAATGATCCAGAGAAAAACAGAAAAACAATATTCAAAAACAATCACATTACTGTCGTCACGGAGCACTTGATTTACGACCAGTTGGCCTCTTTGATGTCATGGGAACAATAAAACAGGTCCAGGTAAAAAATAAACTTGTTTAGCATGTTGCACAAATCATCAGACGAGTGACGAAGACAGCGGGTGCATGAGACCAAAAGGCATTACCTGATATTCAAACTGCCCCAATAGAGTATTGAATGCACTCCTAATTCGCACAAGATTGTAGGCATTGCGCACGTCCATCTTAGAGAAAAGCGTAATCCTGTGCTGAGGCTCAAATACAGAATCAATTAGTGGAATGGATGTTTATTTTTCAGCGTAATCGTTGCACGGCCAAAGTCCTACCGTTTTTGTTTAAAAAGAAACCAGGCGGCAACTGGGAAGGATGGCAGAGAGTCATAAAGGCATTTCTACTTTAGGACCTGAGAGACAGCACAAACAACCAGAAGGTAAAGGTGTCCCTGGAAGAAGGAAAACTATATGGCCTGTGGGGAGGAAGAGAGTTTTATCCTTACTGAACATTTACTGGGTACACATCAAAAGATCAGTGGGTTCAGGTTCAGGGAACAGGGGTTTGGGAATGTTGTAATCTGAGTCAAAAGTTTATCTGCTCCAGAATCATCTAATGAAATAACACTACGACTCACCATTGGGTTGGAGAGAGGTCTGCAACTGGAGTAGAGGGAATATGCTGGAGTTCTAGCTCATCAGTAGCCCCTTACTCACTGATGAGCCTGATCCTTTTGGCAGCAGATTGCACTGGTTCTGCAGGATCTATGTGAGGACGTCGCAAAGCATTGGTTCCAAACTGGAGGGAGATGGAGGGGCACAGGAACAGACTGGGAAAGGACCATTTAAAGGCTGAGAACTTGACCGCCTAAGGAAGACTAGGGGATAAAGCATTGATGATGCCGTTCCCCCTGGTTGTCCCGGCGAACTACTACGGAAATTAGCAGTATGCCCAGGGTCTGGGCATTTGACCCGAAAAGCAGGATCATCCTTTATGCTTTGAGACCATGAAAAAAATGCTGCCTGAAGAGTGTTCATGCCTCACCCACTCTCAGTGAATACTAGGCCACAGAGAACTGCCCTGCTTTAGAGGTAAATGCATTGGCTTGTTTCCTTACTCTGGATTGGGTGATCAAAATTTTGCATTTCATTAGAAACCCCCAGAAAAAGAATAGAAAAAAATCTGCATTGGCCTTGCATGCAGTGGCCCACATTTAGAAGCCTTCCCTGAGAGAACAACCACCATTTCATTTGTAATGTACATATATATTTCAATAGCATATGTCTGAGGTTGTTGTACAAAATGACCAATAAATAAATAAATCAACAGTTTGCGTGCATTAGAAGAGGGCAGTGGTGGTGGAGTAGGATCCATGGGCCGAGGAGTAGAGGAGCCAGGCAGAGCAGGAGGTCCGTGATCAGGTGGAGCTGGCTACAATTTCACCAACATGAGGAGAGCTCCTTTAGAACGCCCTGAACTTTCTTCATTTCTTGTTCATGGGTGTCCAGAGTTTGCCTTTGAGCAGAATGGGTCCTGAAAAATATATCTTGGTCTGAGAGATCCATGTTGGTCAAATTGTTCTGTTGGATAGATGTGCAGACCCCAAAGCAGACACAAAAAGGGCAGTTAAAAAAAATTATAAACAAGGCTTGGCTGAAGAAATCATACTGTAAAGCTTAGTCCAGTGGAGGAGCTGAGAGCAGGCAGTGGACCTGGAAACAAAATAAATCCTCCTGGGCAGAGTGTTGGAGTCTAATCACCACAGAGAGAACAATGTGACTGAGTGGGATCAGTTTGGAGACTGCAGTGATGTGGGAACTGGAGAGAGCTGTGGCTGCTCCGAGACCAACCCAACAGGAGCCAAGCCTGATACAAAACCTCACCACACGGGGGCGACAAACCACAACACAAACCCATAACCAAGAGTTGCTCACATGATAGAAACAGATCTGCTCAGTCCTGTCCAGATAAACAACACAGTCACCGGTTCACTCTTTTACATTTCTTCTGAATCTTGTCGATATGGGCACAACAGTGAACTTTCCATCAACAATTAAACCCACAAATCTTGTTCCTGTCTCCTGTTCAAGCTCGTGTCCAAAAAACTTCAGAGTAATGTCTTTGTGACGATCATTTAAATCCCTATCTGTGTGAAATCTGATTCTGAAAGACTGGACTGATACTTTCAGCAGCAAAAAGACATTTGTTTCTAGTTTGTTTTGTTCTCCTCTAATCCCCAGTGGGCCCCCCAAAGGAAACGTTGAACCAGAAGGTGGGAGCAGGTTAAAAAACCCCCCAAACCCCCCGTGACCCAAGGCAATGCCTGCCGCAAACACAGCCAGGATGCCGGCACCTACCCCTCTCGAACATCTCTTGTGGGGACCCCCTCCAGAGGGCAGGACATGGGGTCCCAAGAACGCACCGCGCACCAGTCATTGGAAACCCTCCACCTGTAGGCATAGGCTCTGATGGTGGAAGGGGCCCTCGCTCCCTGAATGGTCTCCACCCGGGGTCCCCGGGTGGGTCCCCTCTAGTCATCATGTCCGCCCCTGTGTTCCGGTCTCCCGGAACATGGCATGTTCTCAAAGGCTGCAGAAGCATTGCAGCCCAGAGCAGACTGACTGCTGCCAGACGATGGAGGGCGGTGGACCTCGTGCCTCCCTGTCTGTTCAGATACGCCACCACTGTGGTGTTGTCCGAGTGCACCATCACATGCCAGCTGTGGGGCAAAGTGCAGCAGCACCCTGCGCACTGCCTCCAACTCCAGCAGATATATGTGGTGAGTCGGGTCTGCCCAAGAGCCGCCAACGGAGCTCGCCCAGGGCGAGCCTTTTGGCTCCCCCGGGGTGTGGCGTAGTGAACACCAGGTTATACGTGGGCACCATGTGAGCTCGAGCCTCTCCTTTCACCCACAGCGAAGCCTAAGGGACTTAACACATGAAGATGTCTTTGGTATTACACTAAACATTTTAATTTGTAGGGGCTCTATTGTGGAAAGTAAATGCCCTCCGTTTGCACATACAAAGTCCCATTTGCACAACATTTGAATTGATTGTTCAACTCTCGGGTTTGGGTAAACTGAAAGTGTAAAACATGATATTGCAGCATTAGCGCCCCCTACAGACTGAGTCCAGTGTTACAGGAGGAGAATGAGGTTTAGTTTTTCAATAGAGACACACAATCATTGATCATGGACATTCAAAAATCACAGTGTCACACCCACCAGGGCTGTAGGAAGATGGTGCGTCAGCGCCGCCTCCGTTGCACGGTGCAGCGAGGGCCGTTCGACCCCGCTTGTGGCTTTAATTATCATTAACAGACACATTTTATTTGACATGAGATTGGATATTATTTTATCTGCCAAATATCAAGAAGAGATGTAATTGAAGACTAATATTAAACTATAAAGATACAGTTTGACATGCCTGCTCTAGACCTCTCATTGGAGCAGAACACGCAGAGAAGGAGAAATCTAAAGTCCTCACTGCGGTTTTTATCACAGTATTTTATCCGAGGAGTTTCTCTGAAGCAGAAAAGAATTCAACCGTTTCAATCCTTTGGGGACAGTAAAGTTGGATCTTGATTCTCTGATCTGCTGTTGGCAAATTGATATTTTTTCTGACTAAATAAAAAATAAAATTGATCGTTTGTGTTTTGTTATTTTTCTTGCTTTTTCTGCCTGAGATGTTGCTGCAGTGTTCATGGTTTTACACTGGTCCAGACCAGAGCAGAGAGGATTCATGGTTTTACACTGGTCCAGACCAGAGCAGAGAGGATTCATGGTTTTACACTGGTCCAGACCAGAGCAGAGAGGATTCATGGTTTTACACTGGTCCAGACCAGAGCAGAGAGGATTCATGGTTTTACACTGGTCCAGACCAGAGCAGAGAGGATTCATGGTTTTACACTGGTCCAGACCAGAGCAGAGCTGTATTTTAATATTATTATTGTGTTTCTGCTGCTGGATCAATAAAGTATCTCTCTCTAAAAAGTAATATTTATATTTCAGAGCGTCGTCCAGGACCTGATGGACCGGAGCCAAGCAGCACAGAATGTTCCTCACAAGAATGATCCAGAGAAAAACAGAAAAACAATATTCAAAAACAATCACATTACTGTCGTCACGGAGCACTTGATTTACGACCAGTTGGCCTCAGGTGCGGGTGGTGCTCCCACAAGTGCTCCCACAGGTGCTCCCACAGGTGCTCCCACAGGTGCTGCCACAAGTGCTCCCACAGGTGCTCCCACAGGTGCTCCCACAGGTGCTCCCACAGGTGTTTCCACAGGTGCTCCCACAGGTGCTTCCACAGGTGGTCCCACAAGTGCTTCCACAGGTGCTCCCACAGGTGCTTCCACAGGTGCTCCCACAAGTGCTTCCACAGGTGCTCCCACAGGTGCTTCCACAGGTGCTCCCACAGGTGCTTCCACAGGTGTTTCCACAGGTGCTCCCACAGGTGCTTCCACAGGTGTTTCCACAGGTGCTCCCACAGGTGCTTCCACAGGTGCTTCCACAGGTGATCCCACAGGTGCTTCCACAGGTGCTCCCACAGGTGCTTCCACAGGTGCTTCCACAGGTGTTTCCACAGGTGCTACCACAGGTGATCACACAGGTGATCCCGGGCGGCACGGTGGCTGAGTGGATAGCACTCTCGCCTCTCAGCAAGAAGGTCCTGGGTTCGAATCCCGGTCGGACCAGGGCCTTTCTGAGTGGAGTTTGCATGTTCTCCCCGTGTCTGCGTAGGTTTCCTCCGGGTACTCCGGTTTCCCCTACCACTAAAAATATGTCCAATAGTTCTGGCGACTCCGCTCCCATCTCTGTGTGGAGTGAGAGACAAATGCCAAAAAAAAAAAAAAAATTTACAATTTGAGACTCAGATCTGCAGTGAAAAGGCGGTATATAAATAAAAACTTAAAACTTAAAAACTTACTATCCCACAGGTGCTCCCACAGGCGTTCCCACAGGTGCGGTCTCTGTGCCTGGATTCTTTTTTTGAGATTCTAAAATGGAAAGAAATGCTGTTATTTGTCTTTGACATTTCTATGATAAAAATGTTCTGATTTAACAAAGTTTAGGCCGACACAAGAACCGGAGAATTAACAAGAAAAGGAACGACATATTGAATTAAATATGCAGGGAGTCAGACCTGGGAGACCAAACGTGTACTGAGGGTCTGCTCACACCTCCGGGAGAGCTTCTCCCAGGTCCCAGAGGAGGAGAGCTTCCCCCAGACCCCGGCGGAGGAGGGGGATATTGAGTCTCAGTGCACCATGTTCTCTTCCTCTATCGCCGATGCGGCGGCTTGTAGCTGTGGTCACAAGGTCTCTGGTGCTGGTCCCGGCGGCAACCCCCGAACCCGGTGGTGGACACCGTAGTAAGGGATGCCGTCAGACTGTAGAAGGAGCCCTATCGAGCCATGATGGTTCGTGGGACTCCTGAGGCAGCTTCCACTCCCGGCTGGCCAAGCGTGCCGCAGCCTGGGTTGTTGCAGAGGCAAAAAGCCGGGACTGGGAGCAGTTTGGAGAGTCTTTGGAGCATGACTATCGGTCGGCCTCGAAAAGGTTCTGGCAAACCGCCCGGCGCCTCAGGAGGGGGAAGCAGTGCTTTGCCAACACACTGTACGGTGCGGGTGGAGATCTGCTGACCTCGACTGGGGATATTGTCAGGCGGTGGAAAGAATACTTCGAGGTTCTCAAGAATCTCCCCGTCACGTTCTCCGTTCCGGAGGCAGATGCTGAGGATGTTGGGGGGGATACTTCCATCTCCTTTGAGTCATTGAAGTGGTTGGCAGCCTCCAGCCGAGTGTGAAGCGGCACAAACGAGGATCAGCACCTCCAAATCTGAGGTGAGAAAAAGGTGCCTTGTCCTGTCCAGGTGGGTGGAGAGGTACTCCTCAAGTGGAAGAGTTCAAGTGTGGGTACAGTTGATTCAAGTATGCAGAGTTTTCTTATCTAAAAAGACAAAGGCTGCTGTGTTTGTACATTTTGCTCATGCATTTCATCTCAATCAGCCCTTGACCTGACGCAGATGCTGAGATAAACAAGGAAAGAGTCATAGTGTGCGGGAACCAGGTACAGAATGTACTCACACAAGACAAATAACAATGACAAAAGAACGATTTTTTGGCTCGAGGCCCATTGAGGAGTATGGGTCAGATGTGGGTGGTGCTGTCACTATAAATGTGTGTGTGTCTGAGCAAGAGCCTGAAGAGACCGACTGGACAGATCCCAGACCAGAGAGAGTTTAGACAGATCGCAGACGCTCCGAGTCCACAATGGAAAGACTCTGTGTCATTTGTGTTTGTTTGTTCATGTATTTGACAGGGACAGTGCAGTCATCCAGCCTGGACCAACAAGTGGAGTTGGCAGACAAGGCTCACCAGTACGACTATGAGGCTGAAGCAATGCTTGCGCAGGTGACATGGAGCACCATACCGAGCTGGGAGGAGAGCTACAAGCTGCGTTTGGTCCTCAACAACGCTGTCATTCCACGGCTGCAGGCCTGGCGTGCCATCGCTGACATCGAAGGCAAATCTGAGGACGAGAAGGATAAGAATTTGGCCCTCAACCATCTTAAAAAGATCGGAAATGAGATCACAGAACTCTGTGGGAGTCTGCTGGATTCGATCTACTCCCTCCTGCGATCTGAGAGAGATCCAGAAGCAATAGTAAGTTTTTAATATTGACAAAGCTCAGTTCACGTATTTATTCAAATGATGTGCAAGTGTACATTGTACTCCAAGCACAAGTACTGCAGAGTTTTTTGTTTTCTTGTTTTTCAGATTCAAATTAGAAATTTGGTCTTGTTGCTTCCATTTAAACTGCATTTCCTGTGTTTTTGTAAAGCCATTTCCAGCTATAAACATACAATCAAGATTATAATAACATGTAAAAAAAAAAAGAGGTTTCAGATAAGTTTCAGAGGCAGGTGTGGTCGATTACGCAAGCACAAAAACTGATTTTCTTGATTCGAATAACTCCTGATGCCCTTATGTTTATGTCTCTCCTACAATATCTCTGTCTGTGGCAACAGAGCAGAGACCCTGTGCATCCTAGTGTCAGAGACAAGAGGGGAAGGGGAAAGCGGGGGAGGATGGAGAGGTGGGTGGGTTTGAGGAGAAGTCGTTGTAGATAGATTTTGTGGGTGAATCGGGAGAGTGTGATGCCCGAGGTGGCTTGTTTATTTAAGTCTAACAGTAAGTAATGTTTATTTATAAGCACCTTTTACAAACCAAGGTCACCCAGTGCGCTTTAAAAATGTTCAATGTGAGTTTAGATAATGTACCATTCTCTTCACACGATGATGACGGAAGCGAGACGCCAAACACACTTTGGGAGAACATCAGAATCAGAATGTTTTTATTGCTACGTACAGTAAGTAACAAAAGTCACCACTTGGCAATTGCTTTGGCAGAGCATGTCACGGCGCCATCTTGCGGCGCTGTGCGACAAGCAGGAAACAGTAACATACACGTTTCACAGACAGTTTGGATAGACACAGTATGGTGCTGCTGAGTGTGAAACTTGTGTTGAAGAAGAGTCCCGTTATCATCTTCGGCCTTGGCCAATGGAATGTGGAAGATTAGGAGAGGAGCCACAGACACACAGGAGAAAAAAACACATTTGCCTTGAAAGGGACGATTTCTGTGAGCAATGTAGAAGATCAAAAAGCAGGCAAATACTCTATAAATCCAATTGAACCGAATTTCTGGTACCCTTGGTAACCTCCGTACACAGGGTCTTTTCGTGTGGGGTCAGAGAGTTCAGCCCTGGCAGACAATCTCATTCAATCTCCTTTCCAATGTTTTATGTCCTTCCAAAGATTACATTGCAAGATCTTTAAGCAGATGTTTGACCTGTAACACTCTCCGTTGTTCTCCCTCGGCGCTTTCAACCACCACCCGGGTCAGTTTTTTGTACCTTTCTTCAATCTTGTTGGACAGCTTCTCATAGATTCTGAGGGCTGCCATTCCTCCAACTTTGCGGCAGAACTGGAAAGCCCAAAAGGAGAATCCCAGAAATCCAAATATGTAGACGTCTTCCGAATCTTCGATAGACAGAGGCGACAGACATAACGGGTTCCACTTGCCCGAGCTGTTGTAGGTGTAACCCGCAGGAGCCGTCCCGTCAGAGTAGGGGGCCTCTCCTGGTCCTCCCTTTCGTGTTGAAAAGATAGTATCAATTGCGTTGAGGGACCAGTTAATGATATCCATAATTCTTGTTAGAGTTGTCTGCGGCAAGACTCCAGGAAAAAGACAAAAACAAGATAGTGCAAGCGGTCAGAGCAAGAGTGGTCTAAGACACGTCTGTGCTTGACGGAGGCGTAAGGAAGCTCATGCCAACTACACACAGGCCTGAAGCTGGAATCCAACCCAGGACCTTCTTGCTGTGAGGCAAGAAGGTCCTGGGCCATGGTTTTGTCCACTAACAGTGAAAGAACCCTACTTTTCCATTTATGATGAAGTAGATGTGGGGGATCAACTATAGAGCTAATTAACCATAAATTATACATAAATTAGGATTAAATGTTATTTAGTGAGGGCGTAACTAAAGTGAGACTGAACACATTATAAAGCACAGTGGGTAAATAGTTTGGTCGATATTCATTTAACATTATTGAATTATTGACATACGATGACGCAGTGGTTAGCACTTGTGCGCCACAGTAAGTAGGTCCTAGATTCATGTTTTGTTTTGAAACAGGTCTTCTATTCGACAATGGGAGGAGACTTCTGCAGATACATGAGAGAGGTGGCATCAGAGGAGCATAAAGGAAGCATACGGTAATCGTGCCTTGGAATTCTACATCTATGGGTTTGACCAGGCTCAGTACCTGGAGGCCTCACACCCCCTCCGCCTCACCCTGGTCCTGCACCTCTCTGACTTCTACTACGAAGACGTCCACCTTCGGGCCGAGGTCATCGATATGGCCCAAGACGCCGTGATCGAGGCCAGTAAGCTGCTGGAAAAGGCTCCGAACCAAGAAAGCAGCGTGATCGTGCAGCAGTTTAAAGACAGGCTCAGTCTCTGGACGCCGCTCTAGTGTTTTTGAGTCGAAAAGTGGTGGAAAAATATATATGGGATATTTCAACTTTCATTTAGTATAACATTAAACATACACACAAACACGCACACACACACAAACATGCACAAACATACACACAAACACACACATATATACAGACACACAAACACACATACACGCACATACACACACACACAAACATATATACACACACATACACACCTACATGGGTAAAGGGAAAGGTATTGTTGTGGGGTGTGTTTGTTATTGTCTTTACTGTTAAGTTTCGAGACTAAACGTCTTCCTGAAACAGTGAGACGGACTTCTTCTCTGACAATGTTCAAATCCAGGGTAAAACAGTTCTGATATTAATCCTTGTGTGATTGATTCCATCTGGTTTTGTTCAGCTTTCACTTGCCTTGTGTATGAATTGTGATACACCAATTAACTTGCCTCGCTTTACTCATTAAAGGGCCCAAATCTGTCATAATTAAAGGGCCCTAATCTGTCATCATTAAAGGGCCCTGATCTGTCATCATTAAAGGGCCCTAATATGTCATCATTAAAGAGCCCTAATCTGTCATCATTAAAGGGCCCTAATTTGTCATCATTAAAGGGCCCTTATCCGTCATCATTAAAGGGCCCTAATCTGTCATCATTAAAGGGCCCTAATCTGTCATAGTTAGAGGGCTTTAATCTGTCATAATTAAAGGGCCCTAATTTGTCATAATTAAAGGGCCCTAATCTGTCATCATTAAAGGGCCCTAATCTGTCATCATTGAAGGGCCCTAATATGTCATCATTAAAGAGCCCTAATCTGTCATCATTAAAGGGCCCTAATTTGTCATCATTAAAGGGCCCTTATCCGTCATCAATAAAGGGCCCTAATCTGTCATCATTAAAGGGCCCTAATCTGTCATCATTGGAGGGCCCTAATATGTCATCATTAAAGAGCCCTAATCTGTCATCATTAAAGGGCCCTAATCTGTCATCATTGAAGGGCCCTTATATGTCATCATAAAGAGCCCTAATCTTTCATCATTAAAGGGCCCTAATTTGTCATCATTAAAGGGCCCTTATCCGTCATCAATAAAGGGCCCTAATCTGTCATCATTAAAGGGCCCTAATATGTCATCATTAAAGGGCCCAAATTTAAAGGGCCCTAATCTGTCATAATTAAAGGTCCCTAATCTGTCATAATCAAAGGGCCCTAATCTGTTGTCATTAAAGGGCCCTAATCTGTCATCATTAAAGGGCCCTTATCCGTCATCATTAAAGGGCCCTAATCTGTCATCGTTAGAGGGCTCTAATCTGTCATAATTAAAGGGCCCTAATCTGTCATCATTAAAGGGCCCTAAACTGTCATAATTAAAGGGCCCTAATCCGTCATCATTGAAGGGCCCTAATATGTCATCATTAAAGAGCCCTAATCTGTCATAATTAAAGGGCCCTAATTGTCATCATTAAAGGGCCCTTATCCGTCATCATTAAAGGGCCCTAATCTGTCATCGTTAGAGGGCTTTAATCTGTCATAATTAAAGGGCCCTAATTTGTCATAATTAAAGGGCCCTAATCTGTCATCATTAAAGGGTCCTAATCTGTCATCATTGAAGGGCCCTAATATGTCATCATTAAAGAGCCCTAATCTGTCATCATTAAAGGGCCCTAATTTGTCATCATTAAAGGGCCCTTATCCGTCATCAATAAAGGGCCCTAATCTGTCATCATTAAAGGGCCCTAATTTGTCATCATTAAAGGGCCCTAATCTGTCATCATTGGAGGGCCCTAATATGTCATCATTAAAGAGCCCTAATCTGTCATCATTGAAGGGCCCTTATATGTCATCATAAAGAGCCCTAATCTGTCATCATTAAAGGGCCCTAATTTGTCATCATTAAAGGGCCCTTATCCGTCATCAATAAAGGGCCCTAATCTGTCATCATTAAAGGGCCCTAATATGTCATCATTAAAGGGCCCAAATTTAAAGGGCCCTAATCTATCATAATTAAAGGTCCCTAATCTGTCATAATCAAAGGGCCCTAATCTGTTGTCATTAAAGGGCCCTAATCTGTCATCATTAAAGGGCCCTAATCTGTCATCATTAAAGGGCCCTTATCCGTCATCATTAAAGGGCCCTAATCTGTCATCGTTAGAGGGCTCTAATCTGTCATAATTAAAGGGCCCTAATCTGTCATCATTAAAGGGCCCTAAGATGTCATAATTAAAGGGCCCTAATCCGTCATCATTGAAGGGCCCTAATATGTCATCATTAAAGAGCCCTAATCTGTCATAATTAAAGGGCCCTAATTGTCATCATTAAAGGGCCCTTATCCGTCATCATTAAAGGGCCCTAATCTGTCATCGTTAGAGGGCTTTAATCTGTCATAATTAAAGGGCCCTAATCTGTCATCATTAAAGGGCCCTAATCTGTCATCATTGAAGGGCCCTAATCTGTCATCATTAAAGGGCCCTAATTTGTCATCATTAAAGGGCCCTTATCCGTCATCAATAAAGGGCCCTAATCTGTCATCATTAAAGGGCCCTAATATGTCATCATTAAAGGGCCCTAATCTGTCATCATTAAACGGCCCTAATCTGTCATTATTAAAGGGCCGTAATCTGTCCTCATTAATAAACTGCTCTTTTCCAATACTTTTTTAACTGATCACAGTCGTTCAGAGATATTTGAATTTCTAAATTACTTTTCCAGCCCCTAAATCTTTCTATTGTTTTCATCTCGAAGTCTCGCCCTCCACCGTTTCACCCATCAGAAAGTCTGTCATCCGGGCACCAGAACTCACCGCATTGAGCTATTCTCACTGGTAAAGTACCATGTGGCGCAGAACGAAAAAAGGTCTCGTTATGATTCTCATATCATTAACAACAAAACAAGGAATAAATCTAGGATTGCTCTCTTTGTGAAAAAGGTGTTGGTTATTCTTGGCTCTCATTAAACTGGCCAGTAGGGGGCGAATGAGCAGAGATGGGACAACTCAGTTTTGCTCCCATTGAAAACCATGTAAAGTCTGTTTTGGAGTCAAAGGCTCTCCTCCTGTGCGGTGTACGGTTGTTGGAACAGTCTCAATCGGGGACACTCAAAGAGTCTTGATTTTGGACATTTTTGGAACAAAAAACAGAAGAAATTGCTGCGTTTCATTGGGGTGGCCTGCAGGGGGCGCTTATCTGGGAAAGCCTTGATCCACTTTGCCCGCCACATTCTATGACGTCTTCTTGTTGTGACTTCATGATGTCTGCTTGTCTCAGCAGGAGGCCAGTCCCTGTGCTCCTCAGAGACCCAGCAGGAGGCCAGTCCCTGTGCTCCTCAGAGTCCCAGCAGGAGGCCAGTCCCTGTGCTCCTCAGAGTCCCAGCAGGAGGCCAGTCCCTGTGCTCCTCAGAGTCCCAGCAGGAGGCCAGTCCCTGTGCTCCTCAGAGTCCCAGCAGGAGGCCAGTCCCTGTGCTCCTCAGAGTCCCAGCAGGAGGCCAGTCCCTGTGCTCCTCAGAGTCCCAGCAGGAGGCTAGTCCCTGTGCTCCTCAGAGTCCCAGCAGGAGGCCAGTCCCTGTGCTCCTTAGAGTCCCAGCAGGAGGCTAGTCCCTGTGCTCCTCAGAGTCCCAGCAGGAGGCCAGTCCCTGTGCTCCTCAGAGTCCCAGCAGGAGGCCAGTCCCTGTGCTCCTCAGAGTCCCAGCAGGAGGCCAGTCCCGTGCTCCTCAGTGAGGGAAAGACCAGAGACAGAGAACAGAGAGAGAGGCCAGATAGTGAATGTGACTTGGTTTAGAGATTAGGACCCAAAAAACTCAAACTGAAGTGGAAATTCTGCTGCTACTGTTAGCCCAGGAGCCAAGAAGGAGCCAAGAAGGAGCTAGGAACACGGGAGAATTCAAAAAGATTACTATCAACCGTATCAAAAATGTAGCAGTCTGTCTGAAGAGCTGGCTACACACACACACGCACACGCACATGCACACACACACACACACGCACACGCACATGCACACACACACACACACACACACACGCACACGCACACGCACATGCACACACATACATTTGCTTAATCAGTCTCATCTTTTATTTGCACCATAAAGTTTATCAGGAACAAAAGAACACAACGTCCCGGACTTTGCGACAGAGATTATAATCCTCACATTAAAGCTGGGGGACGTAAACTCATCTTAACAAATAACACCTGGAGTTTGTGCATCAGAAACAGACACAGATGTGAGTGTAGCAGGGTGTCATAGCTGAGTCCTGCCACAGGGTGGGGGTGGCGCTCATCCTGATCAGCTCTCACTCCATTAAACTTCCCCCATAGATTCTAAGTTTCCACATTCTAGAACCCTCCGCTGCATTGTCTGCGACGTCTGCAGCAGAACTCTGGAACGGATGAAACACGGATCACCTCCCTGCGCTCGTACTTTATTCGTGTGAAACAGAAAAAAAATATTGTGAATTTCAAACTGTAGGCACGGGTTTTTACAACATCTTTTCAGGTGAGGATTATTCATTTATTTTTTCACACACACACTTTTAACTTATAACTTTGTGTAAATGTCTCGGTAATATATGGTAATATATAGTTTGGTTTTATTGGAGTGACAGTAATGATAATGATCATAATACAAACGCCCTGCACAAGAAGGGCCAAAGTCGCCCCTTCCTTCTGAGGAGGCTGAGGTCCTTCGGAGTGAGCAGGCCTCTGCTCAGGACTTTTTATGACTCTGTGGTAGCTTCTGCCATTTACCCTCTGCAGGTGGTGAGTCCACAGGAGGACGGCTGCTCTCTGAGTGTGAGCATAGCCTTGATCTTTCAGTGGGGGCTTTTGGGCAAAGTGGGGTTAAGTGTCTTGCCCAAGGACACAACGACAGCAGTCATCAGTGGGAGTCGGTGGAGAAGGTGTAGAGGTGGGAATTGAACCCACAACCTTCAGGCCTTAAGGCCAATGCTCTACCAACTGAGCTACTGTCGTTAATGATTCTTAAATCATTAACGACAAAACAAGGAATAAAACCAGGATTTCTA